ATTTTGTATATTAGTAGTAAAAGAAAAAATCGTAAACCTTTAAGGAGAATTCATAAAATATGTACTTTTGACTCACAGTTAAAACATTGATTAAATTGCACACTACAAAAGAGGGCACTAAAAAATAGGAGGCATCGCCAAGGAGGCTGACTACCAACAACCACCTAAACTTTTTACAAGCATCAAGTCACCAATAAAGCAGCATGCACAGAACTTCAAAACACATATTTTAAATTGCACATAGAAATTTGAGACTCTCTCTATCAAACTCCTGAATGCTTCATCTGAAGGAAACACTGGCAGAAAAAGAGCAACCCTGAAATTGCAGAGATAGTGTTGCCTGGCTTCTGAGATTCAATTTTATTTTTAAGAAATTCCAGAGATATATAATCAACATGTTGCTCTTCTTTGCAATAGTAAATACCCTTATTATAATTATTCTTTATGAAAAGCTTACCTAATTGGTCAACTATTTTTTTAAATTTTTATTTTTGCAGTGCTAGATATCAAACCCAGGGCCTTGCACATGCTAAGCAAGTGTTCTAACACTGAGCTACACCATCACCCCTAACTCCCAATTGAACAAATATTTTTCAAATCTCTTTCTATATGTATTTTTTTAGCTGTCTCTAACCCTCAGTCTACACTGCACTACATCATACTGGTATAAACTTATAAATATAGAGAAATGCTTCACATTTATTAACCTATTAATTCCTCACAACAATGTGTTGGGAGTACTAGAACTAACTTCAGTAGAAGAAACTTAAAAACAAAAAGGCATAGGAAATTGACCAAACTCACCTGCATAGAAAGTAACAGTCCTTGGGTTCAAACCCAGATATTCTGATTCTGTTTTAACACTATGTATTTACTTTCATCAGTTTCAAAGTTAACTCTGAACAGTGTTAACAAAAATTCACTTTTTCTTACTTGTATTTATGACAGTTTAATGTTTAATGTTTTCTCTTGTTCTCAAAAGAAAATTGGCACCACATAAGCACACCAGAGATGAGTGGCTTTATAGATAATTTCCCCATAATCCCAACCCTTCTTCAACCTTTGTTAAAGCAAGTGAAGGGAACTAAACACTTCTTTTTAAAGCTAAAACTGTCTACTGGATAATCTTTTTTTTTTAAATATTTCCTATGAATATTTTGAAAGAATTAAGTGTCATCCCTACAAAATTCCATATGGCAAAATTAATTATCCTTCATATCCTTAGACAAATTGGTTCTTAATACTGGGGAGTTCATTGCAAGTACTACTTCCACAAACGAAAGAGACATGTATCTTGACCCATAAATTAGGCTTAGGCAGAACACAGTTCTCAAAACTTTTATCTTTTCTATTGAAGAATGGAAACAGAAAGCATGATACAAGAGTGAAGGGCCCCCTGACAACACATTAAATTTTTACACTGAGTTCCAGAGTTGTCTGCTATGGAGATACACAGAAGACCACCCATGTCATATGAGTTTGGAAATTCACAAACAAGCTTTACGGCCCCTCTGACCCTCTTAACTTACCCCATTCCTGCTCTCATCTAGATCAGATGCAAAATCAACTAATTTTTATTCAATTTTTACTATAATTTTTAGCAATAGCAGTGGATTAGGAGTATTGCCTGTTTTATTTCATTATTATCTACAATTTCCCAAATGAGGAAAACAAGGTTCAGAGAAATTGAGGAACCTGGTTGGGGTATGGCTACCAGGCAGTAAATAGCAAAGCTGGTATTCCAACTCACAACTATTGTCTGTATAATAAAAAAAAAAAAGATTGTTTTTTTTTCCAACACAAAATGCACTCAGTATCTGTGGGAGTTTGGTTCCAATATTTCTGGTAGATTCAAAATTTCAAGATTCTTTATATAAAATGGAGGAGTATTTGCATATTATCTATGCAGTCTGCCATATAACTTTTTAAAAATAATTTTTAGTTGTAGTTGGACACAATACTTTATTTTTACTTATTTTTATGTGGTGCTAAGGATTGAACCCAGAGCCTTGCACTTGCTAGGCAAGCACTCTACTGCTGAGCTACAACCCCAGCCCCTGCCATATAACTTATATCATCTCTATATTACTTATAATACCTAATACAATGTAAATGGAATATAATTGTTATGCTGTATTATCTATGGAATAATGACAAAAAAATTCTGTACATCCTCAGTAGAGATCAATATTTTTTCCAAATATTTTCCATCTGTAGTAGGTTGAATCCACAACCCATAGATATGGAGGGTTTACTGTACTAGTTTATTATGATGAATGAAATTTTTCATTCTTCCAAAGAGCTTCCATGCTTATTCTGACTCTAACCCCAGAAAGGATTTCCTTATTTTTACAGTAGATATTATTTTTTCCTCAGGTTTTCTGCCAAGAGTCCCTTGCTTTGATTCTCATCTTACTCAGCTAGGACCCTAAGCCCTCTCTGGCTTCTACAGGCATTCTCAGGATGATATGTGTCTCTATGCCTAGATACTACCCAAACCCTAAGTTCTCCCTAATTTCAACAACCCCTTTCACATGGACTAATCCTCTCTAACCCCATTTCCAGAATCAGGGCAGGAAGGGAATAGAAGAATGGAAAGGGTGGAACAGAATTCTAATTATAAATCTAAATAAGGAAATGAACATATTTGCTATTTAGATAGCATTTTATAGTTTACAAAGCATGTTTCTTTTAAGAGTTTGTCTTTACAACAGGTATCACCTTTTGATAGATAAAAAAAAATGTCTCATGGAGACCTCATGACTTATTTAAGACTGTCTGTCTTACAAAGGTAGAATTTGTGAGCTATTAGCCATTGCTACTCATTCTGAAATCTTAAAACGTAAGTGTACATTTTTAATAGGTTATTGTCATTTTAGATTATATCTAAATATTCTTGGTGTTACTTTCTATCAGCTTAAATTAATCATAATCTAATTTTAAAAAATGATACCTAAAGACAGGTTGGTTATGTTCTCAGTGATTAAACCTGGGTAAGAACACATCAAATGCAAAAATACTCCTATTAGCCTTTTATTTTTGAGAATATATGAAGCCGAAATATGTTGCATTTGCTTTTCTGGAGAAAATTTTTAGTCAGGTTCCATCACATTTTAACAAAGCTGATCTGTGCTCTCTTCTTCATCACTACAGAGGGCAGCAACAGACAGCAGAGCTCAGCATTACAGAGGAAATGTGAAAAGTTCCTAGTAAACAAGAGGGTTAAAGACAAAGTCATGCTTTAATCACACCAAATTTTCTTTTGTCTTTATACCATTTAAAATTAATCACATCCATAAACTTTCATATAAGTTACAAGAAACATGGATATGAAAAGTACCAGGAAAGACTGGTTATTTTCAAAAGTTGAGTCTATGACATTCTGTAATTATGCCCAAATTAGCATTAAACAATAAACATAGACATGCAATAAACAATAAATATATCATGCAATATTTCAAAGAGTGAAATTTAGTCAAGATTTTATTTTTTTACTATTTTTCTTATTTATTATTTTCTCTTAAAATCTTTGTCATAGCAAAATAAAAGTACTTGATATAAAATGCTTATTTTCATAGAATAAAAATTATCTTTAAAATGCACCCAAACTTGTTTTCTGTAGGTATGAACTTTTAGAAGTTATGTTTTGCAATAGGAAGGTTTACCTGCAAACTTTTCTCAGGACAATTTATTGTGAATAGCTGTCTGCAAAGATGAGGACTGTACTTGCTTCTAGTTTGGTTGCATAGGCCTACGACTGATTGTTCATGCAAAGGAGGGCAGCAAAGGTCTTATGATCAAAAGGGAAGAAATGACTGACAACAGAGCTAGTTCAAAGGAACTAATGGAATAATTAGTCCCAAAAAGACCAAAAAGACTGAAGAATTCATGATGTCATAAAAAGGAGAGCTACTTAAATTGGATTAGAAAATAAAAATGACATGAACATTGTAAATATTCACAGATCACATCATTGACGTGTAATGTGCCGTTAAATGATGTCAAATTAAAGGGGAAATTACATGTGTTAGAACTAGGACGAATAAAAAGAAGACATTTAAAGATACATGGTCCTTCAAGTGAAAATTTCTAACATATATTACATAGATGATCATCACACAGACAGTGAAACAGGGTGAATGAAATGTAAAATAAAATATGGGGGAAGGATACTGGCTAAAAACAACTCATTTTCAAATATTATAAATGGTAGTTAACTCTGGATTTCAGAGGAGTTATTTTGGAATTTATTTCATATAAAGAAATTCTAAGGACGGCTATAGTAAATAAGTCATACTGCCACACATTCCTTAAAATATCTTAGCATTATCCCTAAGTACTGAATTAGTATGTGAAATTGTCAGAAAAAAACAAACAAACAATAACAACAAAAACCCAGCTTTAGGTCTATAGAAATTTACATACTTCCAGCTTACTCTTGTTAATTGTATATGTTGTTTGAATCATTTCAGTGATTTTTGGACTGATTGGTAACTTCAATGAGTGATAAAGAAGAGGAACAACAAGAAACAGGTATGAGGCAGGTATAATGTCTTTCCTTTCCTGGGTCTCATGAATATTGCTTGCTCAGAAGCACTTACATTACTATTACATAATTAATCTGATTTTAACACACAATTCAAATACTTGCAAAATGCATACCTATATTCAAACACTTCTAGGAAAATATGCAAATGTTTAGCAAAGCAACATTTTGATTTCCAACGCATCTCAGTTGTGACAAATACTTTTGAAATTATTAAATAAAAATCATTTGCCTTTAATTGGATGTTATTCTTTCTGTTTATCTATTTTTATATATTTTATCTATTTTTATAGCAGTAAGTTTAGTATTACCTAAGGAATCATATTAACTAGGTAACAAGTACCTTTCTTGTATAGAAGCTTATTGTTAATAGCATTAAGCATCTTGTACTTTGCCATAGTGCATCTAACTGACACAAGAAGAAAAGTCCAAATAAACAACTGATGTTATATACCTCCAAAGTGATTCATTGAAAAATGAACTCTAAATGCCAGCAGGATTGTTTTTCTTCATTCTTGAAAATTCCGTAAGACTCTTTCTGGTCTATAAAAAGGAAAGGGTGTTAAGAAAATAAAATGTAATCTGGGTTGCAAGGAAATATTCAAAAGACTGCTATATCAATAGGCATAATCTCTAGTTTTAAACGAGTTTATTTAAGCATTTTACAAAGTGCATGAATTTTTTCCAGCTCCTTAGATTCCCCACAAAAGAAGAACAAACATTCACAAAGTATGATTTGGCAAGCAATGGTTGCTTTATGAAATAAAAGAGATGCTTGTCCCTCCCTCATTTGTGGTTCTAGGCCAATCTGAAGCATAAATAACTCATTCCTTAAAAGGGAGAGTAGAATAAGTGGGACAGTGGAGACACTGTTGCCACCATGGTTCAGTTAATTAATTCATAGAAAAATAACATGCTTAAATATCACAAATCAGTATGTAAGTTTTATAGTTCTTTTTCAGCCTAGACCACAGGATACTAATCATTTTGTCCTTCAGGCATTACCTGTATGGAATAGTAGGAAATAAAGAAAACAGAGATTTTCTTCTTGTACAAAGAAAGGAAGGAAATCTACCAGGAACCAGATTCTGCACTAGTCCCTTTATAGGTGCATCTATTATTTTCCTCATAATAATGAAGAAATGTAATTAGAAAAATTAGTAAAAATATTCAACATTAGCCACAGAACAAACTGATTATAAAAATAAGATATCAAGTAAATTTTACCTGACATTTGTTGGTCTCCCTCTAAGAGACTTATAAACCCCATATATTCTATAATCATTAGATTTAGCAATAAATTTTACAAAAAGAGTGATTTGACTAGTGGGAAAAAAATTTTCCCTGATCCCAGAAACTACTTTATGGAATGCTGGTAGTATCCACAGTATAGAAATTAGGAGATAGATGATTAAAATTTTGTTTAGTTTACATTGAACTAGATGATTGATCTTGAGCAACGGTCTCTCTGTGCCACAATTTCCCATCTGTAAAAATGCATAACAATAACAATACTGTATAGGGTTGTTCTGAAAATTAAAATAATTAAATACTCAGTAAACTTGAAGTAACGCATAAGCACACAGCAGGTGTTACATTAGTTCAATGTAAGCAATGTCAATTCACAAACAAAAGAGTTTGAAACATTTTCAGGAACACATCTCAGCAAAACCATTACTCTACTAATGGTTAATTTTTACAAGTATTCAGAGCATTTTAGATAATCAGCATAGATTCTACCAGCATGGAGGCCTTTGAAGGATTAATAAATCTGTTCTGAAGATTCCTATTGCAGATGTGGCAGGTGGGAAGGGTATATATGGCCTAAGGTAAAACCCTTGACAAGACAGAGAGTATCTGGACTCTGAATTGGCCGAGAATATGACAAGGGATTGTAAATTTCCTTTGCAGTCTGTAATCTTGTCAGAACCTAATGCAATTCTCTCTGTTGCAATTTTCATTAATATTTAGACTAACTTGAATGTAGAAAATGGACTGAATCCTGGGTATAAACTATTTTATTGACTCAACCATTAGATAGCCTTGTAGTTTTCCAATATTTCTACTAGTGACAACGATTTCATGGCTAATATCATCCAAATGCCTTTATACAGATGATTTTATTTACATCTGAGAGGGTTATATTTTGAGATATATAGTTTCAAAGAAATACAATCCTACAGTCTATTAGAATATTTTTACATTTTACCAACATTTAGTAATTGATGGATCTCATTAGTTATCAACATGAGAAAGTTCTATATGAAATAAAATTATGTTGTTTAAATAAACTAATATTTTCTAGACACTGTACAAAGAATGCAACTTGATGAGGAGTGTTTTCTACTTAATTAATACCAGCACTCATAGTAGAGAAAACGGTCACAAAAAATGTGGACTTACTTTAGAAAGTTGGGAAAATGTGGAAAAAGCAAGAAAGTACTCACAAAAAGCCCTTTTGTGATCTTTTCCCTGTCTTGGTAAAATGCAATGAGGACAAGAATGCACATCTGTCTTCTGAAAGATTGTAATCTCACTCCAGGAAGAAAGTCATTGATAGCAGATGAATGTCTAACAACTTTACGGCAATATCAAGATTAAAAACTCTAAATAATAATAAAAATATTTGAATATTTTCTCAAAAATTTTATTAAACTTATTCTTTTTTTTTCTCCTATGCTATACTCATGACATATCTGTAGAAATGGTAGGATAGACTCATCTAAATTGGGTAAACAGGAGTTCTACCAAGACAAATTTTTTTTTTTTTTGGTACCAGGGATTGAACTCAAGGGTGCTTACCCCACTAATCTACATCCTTAGCCCTTTTTATATTTTTTATTTAGAGACAGGGTCTTGTTAAGTTGCTTAGGGCTTCCTAAGTTGCTGAGGCTGGCTTTGAACTGGCAATCCTCCAGCCTCAGCCTCCGAAGCTGCTGGGCAAAATAATTTTCATGTGAACATTTGAACAAAATGTAAGTATGAACAAAAGTAAGTCAGGAAGTGATTCTTTATGTTACTCACATTATTATTTGAGCTAAGAGTTATTTCTAAATATATGTGTGGTTCTCTGAAATGAAATAATGTATAACTTTTACTCATTGATGATGAAAGAAATACAATGATTATAGAAATTATTTTTCAGAAGAAGGGATTTAGTCTGGAGTATTGAGTACACACAAAAAAATGTGTAAGCTTTTGACAATGATTCATAGGAGGGATTGTGTTTATTCTGATAGATTCGTATAAGAGATACAAAAAAGAAACTTCAGCTTATCACAAGGGGAAAATGTAGGAAGATGGCACAGGATATATCCAGAAATGATAATCTAGACACAGTGTTTAAAACTTCATTAATAAATCTTACTGTCTTATGAATGTCTCTTCTGAACAACCAGCAATAGAGGAGCCAATAAGAAATTGCAACCCTGCTCTATTAGTGCATTTTGCAAATATAAATGCAGAAGGATTCTGCTAAGCGACAGTAAGGCTCTGAGTATTTCTCAGATTCTTTTAAGATGCTTTGTGACTTCATTATTTTTTCCAATTACAACTCTGTGAAAAAATTCCCTCCATCATCAAAAGAATGGTCCTGGCTCACCCAACTTACTCTGGCAAATTGCTTTGGCTATTTCACAAGAGATAAGGCTGATCTGCTTCTGGGTACTCCATTACATTTTGACATCTCAACTTTTTTTATTGCCTTCAGTCTCTGTTCTTACTCAAGAAAGTGGTGCTTTTTTGTTGTTGTTGTTAGAACTTACCCTTTACTTCCTTAGGACTTTCAAATCTCTACCCTAAAAATACCTTCATTTTCCTTCTCAGTACCTAACTTTATTTTGTATTTTCCCTTTATCAAATATTTACATTTGTCATCTAGCATCGCTGCTGCATATCTTACCATCTGCCCATTTTTACTATCCTGAAATGTGGATTTCTTCCTACTACTGTGCCAACAAATTCTCAAAAGGTTAACAACCATTCTGCTACAAGTTTTAAAGTAAAATGAAATCACATTTTGTTACTTACACGTATTTCAAATAGCCTCTCTTGATTTCCTAATTCTGTTAATAGCGCTACCACATTTCCAATCAGAGTGTTCTTAGCTGCCTAATACTCCCTTATTCCTGCTTCTTGACAACTTGCCACGACCAAGCTATGATTGGTCAATAGGTTTCACCTCCCTTCATTGTGGAGTGAGGTTTATGTCCTGAGGAAAGCCCGGAAATCTGAGAAGGAAAGTGTAGGGATAAGGTTGGTGTAACCCAGAGTTACTGAAACATAACTGACGTTAGAAAGAAGCAGAATAAGGACAACTGTCTTGTTCCAATGGAAGTTTGCCTTATCAGAAGACAGACTGAAGGAAACAGTAAGAGCCATCTATTACGTTTTACTCTGCACAAAGAAAGCTTTCTATGATAAATTAGGAGCAGGCTCAAAAGTAATAAGCATATATAATTGCTTATATGGCACCTTTCTTGAAGGAAACCAGTTTGAGAATATAGCCCTTACCTCTGGTGTTAATATAAGCCCCTAAACTTCTCTCTATAGGAGGGTTCTACTATCTGGCATGCATATGTTAAAAGCAATGTAAACTGGAGTTGAAATTTGACTTGGGCTGGAAGAGTTTGTACCAAGTGGTTTAAAAGCTATTAAAATGGCTGATTAGTGAGAATAATGAAGGTTTTTTTTAAAAAATTCTACTTTTTATTTTAAGAAAAGTAGTCAAATTTGAAGCCTATAGTCAGAGTAAAATTATTAGATAAAACAAAGTGCTATAATGTCATAGCAACCTCATCTTATATATATTATAAACTAAAACTTCTACTACACATCTGACTATTTCAAGCAGTGGAGAGCTAGTTTGATCTCATCATTAGTCAGATCACCCACTTTATGTTGTCACTAATGTAGATATTTCTACTATTTTTGCAGTCTTTAGAATCCAATCTTAAATTCAAAGCTGATTTAGCACTTATCATTTAAAAACAAGGTAAATTAACATTTTTAGTAGTAAATATATTTAATTTTATTCTCTCCCCCCCCCCTCTCAACTACTTTCTGGAGATATACCCTCTCAATATTGCACTATTGTACACTATCCAAAGAAGCAACACAAACCTTTTCTACAAAGCAAAGAGTAATAAAAAAACAAATCAGTGGTTGAAATATATTGTCTTCCAATAAGATTCGTTCTATAATCATTGTTTTGCTTAATTCCATATTTAAGTTAGTCCTCAAGAATGTCTGGTGTAATTAAAAGGCACTGCTTTAAGTGAAAAATATTTGTCTGGGGTATAAACATATATTTAAAGCATATGTTACTCTTTCTAATATATTTAAAAATTTTATCCCATCTTTTTTTATTTAGAATCTATATAAAGAAAGGCTTATTTGCAAAGGAAACAAAACTATCAAATCAGAAAAACCACCCTTGGTTTTATTTAATAAAATAAACAAATTAAAATTATTTTCCTGTGCTATGACTTTTCCTATTGACCTACAGAAAATTGATAGCATTTGATACTTAGTGTCTAGATTGTTTGGTGTGACTTGCATAGATATAGCCAAAGAGTTAAAAAAAAAAAAAAACTCTTTGAAAAGAACTCTATCATTTCCTGCTTTATGGTCTAAGAGAAAAGACTGAACAATCAACTTGGAAATTTAGTTTACCCTACAATTAATTTGCAGAACTTAGGGGTGAAAGGTTGTTGATTATCCCAAGCATTATTGTCTAGGTTCTCACTTATGGTCTCACCTTCACATTATAGTCTAATAAACTAAAAACTAGTGAGAGAAACACTGGAAATTCATAAATACAAACCTGGCCAGGGAAATGATATTCTTTCAGAAGTTAGGGTTGCCCCCAGCCTCACTCCTGCAGTTGCCTTTTCTTCAATCTGAAGTGAAATTTCTCAATTCCTTTCCTCTTAGTCACTCTAATGGATCCTTCACAGAATGCCAGGGTTGTCTACTTAAAAGAACAAGAAAAAAAAATAAAGAAAAGAAAAAAGGTATGGAAAAAAATTATGACAGAGTTGCTACCTGGCTGCTAACCCTACAAGGTGCTGCCCACAAGGGGCCCACTTACCTTCTCACCTCCACAACTCTCCCCCTTCCCATTATCAGCCAACTGGAAGGTCTTTCCTTCCAGGCAACAGACACATATCCTTTCACATTTTAATGCATTTATTATGCTTTCCATTCCCCTGAGAATGCCTTTTTACAACCTTTTACTTATCTCTTATTTAATTGAGAACTTAATCAAATGAAATTTCTTTCATGAGAATTTTTCCTAAGACCTCAAGTAGAAATTGTTGTACCCTCCATTATGTCCTGATACAACTGTATCAATGGTTTCTTAAGAGCAGAGATTGTATCCTGGCAGATAGCAAAAAATACTTCCTGAGTTGAATTGAACTGAACTTCAGCTTCATCTCAAATAAAACTTTTTTAATGAAGCCTATTTTGATCCTCTATTCAAAAACCCTTCTTCCCTTAAGTGCTGTGGTTTTAGCTATTTTATGCCACTGATTATTCTTATAGGTAATATGCAAAAACATCATCCCCAATGTATGTCACAGAGTACTCAATGACATGAAGATGGTGCTTCTTGTTATGCCTTCTACAGTTAGTTGCACATTATAGGGCTTATATATATATATATTTAATAGATTTATATTTTTCAGAAATATGTATCAATATTTAAGACCTCCCCCCAAATTCACTTAGTCAAATTCAGCATCAAAATACAATATTATATAATTTGACTAGAGATAGACTCTTAGGCCTCAAAAATATAATGAAAGTTTGAAAGAATATATTTAGATGTCTTTATATTATTTATTATATCTATGTTCTATTCTTGAATTTTTAATTATGTAATACTCATAATTTTTAAAATAGACATTTTGAAAATAGGATGTATAGTCTGCACAATATTATTGTTCTCAGCGCATTTGAGTCTCATAAAAATCTCTCATCTAAACTTAGCATATTAATTATATAATTAGATCTAAAAAACATTGCTAATTTATGACCATGAAAGATAAATTTTACCTGCCTATGAACAATCCGAATGATCTTTCACAATATAAAGCTGTTCTCATTTTTAAAGAATTAAATCTTTATTGAATATTTTTGAAACAAAAAAAGTAATAGACCAATTCTGTTTTATTCAACAGAGAAAAGTGCAATATGTTATTGTAACCTGACTTGTATTCCACTTGTACAGTACTGGAAATTATTATTTTAAATTATGATGTTAGATTAGATTTTCTGCAGCCTAATATATTGTAAAGTAATATAATTGCTAAATGCAAATGAGATACCTCACAGCTTTTCCATAGAGTTGTTCATGAAAGCCAAGCATTTTACATATTACAGTGAAGTGCATGTTACTAAGAAACAAATTATAATGAAGCTTAATTCAGTATGAAGACTCGAGACTGTAGTATAATGGGTAAAAGTACAGTAGGACATATACACAGAAAATCTGTCATCCAACAAAAAATTCCAGTATCAAGAATATTAAATGTGCAGTATTGATAGCACTGTATTTTTAAAGATTTTCCCTTGCTCCCATTAATTAATTTCAAAGTTTCACTTAGAAGTTACATGTGCTTCTAAACACTGACAAATGTTCTTTGCCAAGTAGAGCCTCAGACTCATCCAGTAATAGCCCAGGTAGATGTGGAGAAGGTAAACTGTGCCTCTTAAGTTTTAAGGTAAAATGTTACTATCGTTAATCTGCTATTACCAATTACTAGTTACTTTTTACATGTGAATATTTTGTCTTTTATTACCTAATACAACTCATCTGTATTTTAGGTGCACCCAGATAAAAGTCACAGAATGAATTCTTATTTCCTAACCCAGAATAGTAGAGCAGAGTTTGTTTAGAATAAGCCCAGATATATCCCCAACAAGCTATACAAAATGGAGAATTATACAAAGTAGAGAATTAATTTATTTCCTTGGAGATAATTCTCCTCTAAAAAAATAGTTTGCACAAGATGGTCTCTAAAGATTTCTAAAACTAAGAGATTCAATGAAATATGATTTCATAATTGTTTAGAAAAATAGTGTGAGCTGATTTATTTCAGTAATAGAAAAATAATAGAAAATAAGATTCTGTGGGGATATACATATATATATATATATATATATATATATATATATATATATATACACACACACACACAAATAATGGAATTGTGAATACTGTCACTATTTAGGGTTATAATATTCTAGGAACTTTAAAGAGACTTCTAGCTGGTGAGGAGAATCATGTAATTGCCATCCAATCACATTGAAGCATTTGGCCTTACCTAATACAACTCATCTGCATACATATCTGTAGGGAGAGGGTCTTTAGCAGAAGAGGTCTGTGAAACTACAGCAATTAGTACCACAAATATCAAAATGGCCTACAAATTATAAATCAAAACTCCTCAAATGTATATTTTTCACTATTTTTAATCTTAATGCTCATTAAATAAAGCACTCTTTAAAAAGCAAGGAGCAGAGACACCAATGGGTTTGTTGCAGTGCAGAAGAAACCAGATCAAAAGCAATTCATTATTAATGCCTGAATATTCTTGCTAAACAGTTCTGATTATTTCACAAGAAAGAGGTCAAGGTAGTAGAGAAAGGGATTTAATCAAATAAACTCTCAATCTCTCTCCAAATAGCATTTTCATCCAGCTGCATGTAAATTCATCAGATGACTAGCCTCCAAAAGCACAGGCAAGGTTAATCTGCTATGACTGTTAAAACTTCTATGATATGCCTATTGAATAAAGATTTAAAGCAGGATGAACCGTGCAAGTTACCCCAAATTAGTTTTTTTTTTCTTTTAGCTCATAAAATACATTAAATGCTCACTGTTAAAAACAAACAAACAAGTCAAATTTCTTCCATTTCAGTTAGGGTTTGCTACTGATTTCTTAAAAACAGATTTTGGTGATGTATAGCTTTCATTTCCTGGAATTTTTAGGATTACCTGTCTTCATGTTCCAGAAGTCCAAAAAGTGTCTACCCTAGTTGGGGATAGCTTAAAAACCTAACTTCTCAGAATATTTTTTTAAATAGTAAGTTTTATTATATTTTTAATATCATGCTAATTTACTTTTACTTATATGCAAAATTATAAAATTTACCACATTTTTATCCAAAGGGAATATTGCTGATAAACTTTACCCAGTGTGTCAATTTGTTGATTTATTACTGAAAATAAGTATAATTTTAATTTCCATTTTCAAAATGAAAAACAAATGAATAGAGATACTAGTGAAAAGATATATTTGTATGCATTTTAATAAACAAGGAAAATGCACTGCACAGACAGTATTTTGCTAATTTATATTTGTCTGCTGAATTCTCCATGAAACTCTATAATTGTTTATAAATATATTTCAAAAGTTATAATTATGTTTGAAAATATACCAAGGTGTTCTAAGATGTTTTGCTTTGAAGATAAAGAAAACTGACTTCATTTTCTCAAAAAAATATAGAATTATGCACTCTAGATCTGTTTTTAGAAATTAAAAAAAGAAAAAAAACCTTTGACAAAAATACATAATTTACCTTTAATAATAAATAATTCCAGTGGATTACTAAATATAGCCAATGTCACAATTGTGAACATGCAGAAAGATTCTTATCACATCCCACAACTATTGCTTTACTATTTGAAAGCTCATTTAGTCAATTTTTAAGTTTATAATTTCAAAATTCAGATGAGAACATACAATATCATAGTAATGTTTAATTCAGTCCATTGCTACTTTAATAATCCTTAAAATACCTTTCTTTTCTGTTACATTTATAAAATTTCTTTTATATTGCATATTTTATTTCTGCATTTAAGAAATTATACAGCAGTTAATAAATCTTCTTCATGAAAATTAAAGTGTTTTTGTATCTGCTGGCATTTTTTGCCCTCTTAGCTCTATGCACCTTTCTTGAATCTAAGACACCATTTTACATGAGGACAATTTCAAAAAAGCAAAATATAACTGTCTAATTAAGGGCTGTGTGATTGGCTAGTTCGCGGTCTCTGTGACAGTTGTGACAAATACACATATTGGCACAGCCCTAACCTCACTTCACAGTTTGCAACACAAAGATGGTATTTTCAGAAATGTGGAGAACACCCTGATACAAAGCTTCACCTTGTCTAGTGCTATTCCATTTAATTTTTTATTAACTGCCTGAACATATGCCATTCTAGAAGAGGGTAATAGTTACAAAATGTCAGCAGAAACATTTAAACTGCTAAAATGTAAATGATTTTATAAATTTGTAATGAAAGGTAATTGTCATGTGGGAAAAGTAACAGAAAAACAGATATGTGTAAATGTAAAACTAGTAAAAAAAATACATCTTATTGGTTGTAGGTAGGAAAACCTAAGTATATTTTAATGAGTACTGTAAGTAGTATTTAAATAAAATTAGATTCATAAGCAGAAAATGTGAATTCTATAATATTTTATTTTCTCACATTAGAAAAGTTCATAATAATGACAAGAACTCATAGAGCTTTAATGTGTTAAATTCAATAAACAGTAGGACATTAAGATGCTTCACCTCATTAAAAAAAAAACAAATAAATCAAGGAAGGATAGTATAAATAGTCTTTGGTGTCGGCACAACAGCTTTAAAAGCACAATATTCAAATATGATTAGTTTGTTTCTTTAGTTTTCACTAAGATGAAAAACAATTTAGTGATTAATCCCTTCAGCAACAAAGTGCTGGGTCAGTGCTCTCAGATATGTCAAGAACAAGAAGATTCCGGCAAGGAATGGAGTATTTCCTCAGCCACCACACAGCAACCACCTTCCAGTTAGGTTTGCGGGCAACCATCTTTAAATGCTTGAGCTGTTCTGCGTGGCCATGACAAGATTTGCAATTCTCTACGTTTATTTACACACCATCACCCCAACTAGACATCACATGGAAGT